CTATTCAATATCAGCGTTCTCGAATCTTTTAATCGATCTGCTGACAGATTGTGCCGTGATCAATAAAAAATTCCTTTGATGAAACATTCAGCCTCATAGAAGAATCAAAACAATGTATTTCTAACATGAAACTTGGCTCATACATAGTGTTTAGGAAATTTCAAAATTTTCAGGAACAACTGTTGTTTCTTTCGCGAGATACAGAATGTTGAAGTTTTTAGCAAAATTTAGCTGGTTTCTGGATTTTGAATATCTTAGCAAGAAAGCATCTGTTCTAAGTGAAAATTTCGGAACATATTAAGTATTATCAAAACTATCTAAAGGTAAAGTTTCAGATCGAAATTCCTATTTTTCGAATTTTTACAGGGATGGATATTCCTGTCAAAGGAGGTTGCGTAGGTCCAGAATAAGAAGAAGGTAATTATTTTTAACTATAGTACGAATATACTGAGAGTTCATAATCTCTGTTTTTCTAATTAGATTCTCATTTTTATAAGCGGAAGCCATTTCGACTCTTAAAAGGGTTAACAATATGTCCACTATCAGTTATAAGCTGTAATTACCCATTTTTTTGATTCTTCTCTGAATTAAATACAAATTTCAAAGTTACTACAAAGTTTAAACTAAATTTCTCTCACTATTTTTAATTTATGACAATATTTATTTTAGTTTCGATTCTAAATTTTTTTGTTCGCCAATGTCTTATTATAAGAATATGTCTGTTATACTTATATTCATATTTAGTAACTTTCTAATTTTAACTTCTTTTTTTTTACAATAATCAAAAATACTTACAAGTGCTAATGACCAATTTGGTTTTCCATAAATTTTAAGAACATCATTATAACAACGAAGTGCATGTAAACGCTAGAATAAAATTATATTAGAATAAAATTTTCTTTATATATTTTTTTTCTTTTCATTAACCTGTCCAGCTTTTAAATAACGATGTCCAGCAATGACCATATAAAATGCATATTTTCGTATAAATGGTGGTCGATAATTAAGAAAACAATGTGAAGCTTGTTCAAGAAAAAGAGCACCACGTAAATCAGAATCCTAAAATAAATATTAAATTTATTTTTATAATTAAAAAAAAAATTTAGAATATAATCCTGATATACTTCTTGAGAAAGTTTAAGAAATTGTTGTACAGCTTGATCATATGCTTCTTTAGATTTTAATATTTCTGTTGACATAAGAACACAACGTGTTGCAAATATTGGTAATCTAAATAATTAAAATTAAAATATTTTTTTCTATGATTTTTTTTTTATTTTTTGATTTAACCTGGATACAACTGCATAAATTTCTATAGCTTCATCCATATATTGTATTGGATAAGCTTTACTTGCTGATGAATCTTGCATAAAATTTGCTAGACAACACATTTCCTTAATTCAAAAAAAAAAATAGAACAAAATTATTTTTTAAAAAAAATCAAAATTATTTACTAATACACCAGCATAAAAAGTTGGTGCTTGATCACGTGATAAATCACGTTTAGCAGCATAATAATTTGTATATGCTAATTCATAATGTTGAAAAAGAAATGCTAAATCAGCAGTACGACGAAGAACTATTTCCATTGAATCATTAGTTAAACTTATTAAAAAAAAAAACAAGAAAATATTTATAAAAATAAATATTTAATAATTATTTTTTACTTTGTTGAAGAAATTATTGGTTGATTTTTAATAGTTGATGTATTACCACCAAAGAATTTTTTTGGCATTGCAAATAATTTTGTTAGTCCACGACGTGATGTTATCTTAAATTAAAATAATAATAAAAGAATTCAATATTATTATTTTTATACTTGTTCATTAAATGTTTTTAAATTTGTTTCAACCCATAGAAGAAGACCTTTTGTAACAAATTCATTCCTAATCAATTAAATAAATACATAATAATAATAATAAATTTAAAGTAACTTACATAAATACATGAATTCTATCATGATCACTTAATGTTAAACAAGCACCATGAATTATTGTAGATGTACTTGTTATTGATGAACCATCATATCCTTCATCAATTGTTGTTGTTGTTGTTGAAGACAAATCATTATTTGATGTATCAAATGAACCTAATGGATGAGTAATTGATGCTAAAAAACATTTTTTTTTTGTTTTTGATTTGTAGATTTTTAAGTAAAAAAAAAAAAAAAACAAGAAATTAATAATTACTATTAAGATTAAGTTCTTGATCAATAAGTTCAGTTAAATTTGATAAAGAATCACTTAATGAATTATCTTTTTTTGATTGTTGTTGAATAGATAATGATGATTGTTTAACATAAATACGCCATGGATCTGGCATATTTGGTCCTTCATTTATATCATTATTTGTTTGACCAGGACGTTTAGAATTTATTTGTAATAAATGACAATTACCAGCTCCATATTGTTGTTTAAGATCACCAAATACAGATATAGCTCTTAAAATAAGAAATTTTATTAAGATTTTCAAAAATAAAAAAAACCAAAAACTTCGAACATAGAAGAAAAATCATATATTCTAAAAAACAAAAATTCCAACCCCTCTATATAAATTTTCAAACAAAACAAAATATCTTAAATACAATTGAACTATACAAAGATCTTTTTCAATTATAAAATTAATATCAAGTTCAAACTTCCCAAAATAAGCATATCTTACTTTCGTATTGAAATACTGAAAGAAAGATTCATACACATAAAGGATGACCCCGAAAGTTCTAACTCGATTTGTATAATTGATTTTTCAAATATTATTAAAAATTTGTCTTTATAATAAAAAGAAACTGTATCTTTTTATCATAAGGACAAATTTTTTAAACAATATTTGAAAAATCAATTATACAAGTCGAATCAGGACTTTCGAGGCCACCCTTTTGTTCTATTTAATTAAATAAAAATTTCAAATAAACATACTTAGATTCTTCTCCTTCAGTAACATCATGTAATAAAACAAAATATTTATATATATTTGTCATAAACCATTTAGGTAATTTTGCTGGTATTTGTTGTTGTTGTTGAATTTGTTGTTGAACAAGTTTAGCAAATGCATCAAGTGGATCAAGATGTGATGTTGATACAACCATGATACCTATTGAATTTATTTATTTATTTATTTATTAAAATAAGAAATTTTTCTTTTTTAAAATTTACAAGCAAGATAATTTTTAAGAAATTCATGATCACCATTATATGCTATACGTAAAAAACAATCACGCCATGAATCAAACCATGGTGTTGTATCTAAAATTTCATTTCAAATTATTTTTCTATTAATAAAAAAATATTTTTACTTTTTATTTGTAATTGATATTGTTCTGTATCAATTTCATGTTCATTATTTATTGATCCATTTGTTAATACATTAAATACAGCATCATTTAATAATTTTTTTGCTAATGTATTTTGTGGAGGTAATGAATTATAATCTTTTATTTCAAGACGTAAATTTTTTAATATTATTAAATTATTTGATGGATCACGATAGGCAACTTAATAAAAGATCATAAAAAAAAATAAAAATATAAATAAAAAACTAAAAAACCTTCTGAAGGAAGACGACAAAATGGTTGAATTAATTCAGCAAATGTTAAATTATTTTTTCGACAAATTGTTTCAGCATCATAACTACATAAAACAGCAATCATTGGACAAAATGCATCTTGAATAAATTCACTAACAGATTTTTTTGTTTGTGCCATGTTAATTATACTAAAAATTTCATCAAACTACTGCAAGCAAAAAAAAACGAAAATTTATCTTCATCAAATATATGTCCAATTTTTTTTTCTTTTTTGCTTTTTTTGAAATATTTATTCATAGGATATTTGTCTATCGAATGAAATAATAATATAAATCCTTTAAATTGATCTCAAAAAAAGCTTGAAGAGGACGCTAATGTAGTTATTGTTATCAACGCACTACAAGTTTACGTCTTTCAAGTGTCTTAAAAACACATTGTTCTAGTACCTACTAAAAATCTATATGAACATTAACTATTCTTATTGCTAATAAGAGACAAGTTTTCTTATAATATGATAGTACATTTCAAGAGCTTTGCACATAATATAAAAATCCTGAGAGAAAAAAAAATTGGTCACTTTCAATTAAATTCTCAATTTTTAACTTTCCTAACATCAAACTTTGAAAAGTCAAGATATGTTATGTACGCATTGATATTGATTATCTAGTATATACGTTCTCGATATGAATATTTATATTATGAAATTTGATCATGAGCTAACTTCAAGAATTTTCCTTGATCTCACCAGGACAAAAATGGTTCTCTACCCAGGACTTTGCCTTGATTCTCCTCCTATTTCTTATCACATTCAAGTAACAAGATTAGTATTACAAAGATACAAATATAATCATTTTGATTATGACAATTATTATGTAAATGACAAGATAGACATGATATTAATCAATAGCAGCACTTGTTAGAAAATATCATATTTCAAGATCATGAATATATACCGAGTGTTGCTTTTTATAAAGTTATTTAATCATACATAGATGAAATTTCATTCAAAAGAAGAGATTCACAGAAAATATTGTAAATGCGAAAGTATTGAAGGCAGAAATATTCGAATGGTAAGGTATTCATACGATTGTCTAGTGGCGTAACCAAGGTAGGGCCAGGGGGACTCAGCCCTACCACCAGTGTTAGCATCGTCAGCTGAATCCTTTCACAAGCCCTACCACCCTACAGACCTCAGTAACCTGAGCCCTACCATCGCCAAAACTCTGGTTACGCCGCTACGATTGTCATAACTTGTCGGAACATTTTATCTTCTAAAATTCAGATATTTAGACAAGATTTAATATAAAAAATTTTATTTCTAGTAATTTTTCATATAAAAATAGGTAAATAGGAAAGAAGTAGATACTTCGGAAAAAAAAACAAAACATCATCCGACGATCTCAATTGAATAAGATCATTTTCAACTTGTTTTGTGGATTGCTTGTAATAATGATTTGAATTTTCATATGAAATATATATCAATTTATTGAAAAAAGATCTCTTTCAGCTTCTGAATTAGCAAATAAATCTTCTCCTTGATAATATTCATCAATATTTTCAAGAAATGTTAAATTTACAAAAACCAATGCCGTAACTATAACATTTCTATTTGATTCTACTCTTAGAATAAAATCTTCATCAGATTTTACAGCAACTCTATATTCTAAATTTTCTGGTTCACCTGGTAATAATTCTCTTTGATTTAATAATGTCTGTTGATGTTTTGTAAAACTATTTGGTTTTACTCGTGTTTCAATTAAAATACACCATCGTTGATTATCAGAAAATATTCTTTCCGAATAGACTATATCCGCTGCATAAAATATACTTGGTGATATGAATATAGCATTAGCCCAATTATCAAATGATCCAACTTTTATATTTAAATTAATATGACCATTTTGTGGAGAAATTCGATGTCCAGGTGATAAAACAGTACCAGCTGGTTGTAAACCATATTTCATAATTGATTCTAAATGTTTATAGTGAGTACCATGCCATGCTAATGTCCAATATTTATGTAAATATGATGTTGAATATTCTGAACAATAATCTAAATTTCTTAAAATTTTTTTAGCAATTATTTTATCAAAATGTTTTATAACAATTAAAGTTTTGGTAAGTCCATCTTTTTTCAATTGATTTAATAATGAATTAATTTTATCATCAGTTTTCGATAGAATACAAGTTTTTATTTGTTGACTATATGTTTCATCTTGAGGATTATTTCCAAAATTATTTCTTATTTTTGGATTTGCTTCATATTCAAGTAATAATTCAACTATTGATTGATGTTCATAAAATGCTGCTGCATGAAGTGCTGTACTTCCATCATTTTGAATTTCATTAATTTTACAACCAGATCTTAATAAAAAATGACATATATTATGAAAACCATTTCTTGCTGCTATATAAAGTAATGTTCGTCCATGTTCATCTCTTTCATTGAGTAAAGATTTATGTTTTTTTATTTCTTTTACAAATAATTCATAATTTCCCGTAATAACATAATAAAAATGATCTTTTTTAATAATTAAAAAATTATTACCAGATCTCATATATTTTGTTGAATCTCTTGAACAAATCATATCATATGCTAATGCACATATTGCTCTTTGATATCTTGATGATGAATGTATTTTCTGTCTAAAAGCAATTTTTACATCCCTTGGAGATGAATTCTCCTTGATACCCAATATATTGAAAGGATTTATCATCTTAGATTCTTCCATTTTTTTTTGATCAGGGAATGATTAATTAATAATGATTGTTGTCTTCAATGCAAATGTAACGATTATTTGAGACTTGTGTCTATAATGTTAAAACAGTAATAATAATAATGCAAATTTTCGGGGAAAAAAAATATCTTGGAATGATTCTGTTGTTAAAGCAAAATTTGCTTGTTATAACATAAAATATACACAAATTTTATGCATCTTTTTCAAGTACTACATGAGAAAGGATTATTTTATTGTACGATCTGAAGAAAATACTCGCAATATAATATTTATTATGCACCGAGAACGGTAAAAAAAAGATTTATTTTCATATTATGTTATGTAAGGACACAAAAAAAATTCAGTTTTTGAAGAAAATGTCACAGCTAAGTGTTTATAATAGAAAGATGCACTGAAGCTTCTCTCTTTCAGGATATGTGTGACTTTTCGAAATTATCGGAGAGATTTTCGTAGTTTTTTTTCAATTTTGGAGAAACTACGTTGTTAGTTGCATCAGTATAACAGATGGCGTTAACGGTCTTCATCGGTTAGCGTGCTTTAAAGTAGTTCACTGAAACTTTGAAGCTCTAAATAAGAGCAAACTTTTGTTCGACCAGATTTTTTTTTATACTTGATTTCTCGACTGAGAAAAAAGGAAATTTATTGTCATGAAGTCATACTTCTTTTTCTGCTCATTTCAATACAATTTCTGCTAAAATATCCATAAAAAATGGATGGGAAAAGAATTTCGAAATTCTGTCCCATGAAAAGTTGCTTATTGGCATTAGCTTCAATTTGAAACTAATGAATATAGTATAAACAGATTAGAGATGTTTCAGAAAAACTCTTAAAGGATAGGAAAATATTATCTCGTTTGAGTCTTGTTTATTTTTTTAGTGCTTCTATTCCTTTGACTTTCTGTAGTCTAAAAGAATAAAATGAACTAAAGAGAATTGAAAACCTAATAATGACTGAACATTGAAGATATTAGTGAATGCAGTATGCGATGTTTGCTTGAATTCTTGAGTGAACTATACTTGTCTGAATGCTTTAAAACTAACGAATATTTCAACATATGAAATATGACTCACGATTTTATATGCCACAATGATGAATTGCTTGTCAAAAACGAAAGAAATTCGAAGATGTTTCGAATTGAGTAAGAGATTTTCTATAGGCGATTAAATTTTCGGTTAATATTTCACAATTCCAAAATAATAATGCTAAAATTTCTACTAACAATGAGAAAAAAGTATTGACAGAGCACTTTTTCTTTCTCTCGTTATATTAAAGAATATATGACGAGTTGGAAGAAAAAAAGAAAATTATGTCAAAACAAATTTTACTGCTCGAAGAAGAATTTTTTTTTGCCATTTCATTGATCAAGTTGTCATATCTTTTTTTGTCTTATTTTGCGTATGAAAAAAAATAGTTGGAAAAAACCAAAATCAGACATATAGATGAATACATACGTTAAATTACGTATATAACTATGACGCTTGATGGCATTACTCATCTGTTGTGCATCAGTACAATCTTCTTGGAAGCTTTTTTTCCATGCGATTTGTGAGTCATTCCTACGATATTCTGACATGATCAACTTGCTTACTTCTTTGTTGCATTCTGCAAAAGAAAAACAAAAGAGTCAACAACAGTTCAAAGTAGAAACATTAGTAAAAATGTTGATCATCAACAAAAAAGTGCGATTCAAGAAAATATTGTTGTATACTGTTAGTAACATAGTTTATTCAGTTCTCTTCTTTAGCTATTTATCTGTTGCTTTCTGTTGTTTTCATCGACTTAATAACAACTTTACTTCAATTCGTACGTTGAACTCAGATATTTTCATGTGCCGGTTAAATTATCTATGTTTAAGATTCACAATCACTTCCATATTTATTGCTTGTAGAATTATAATCTTTCTATTATATCTTGAACCTTTCAATAATATATTTTTTATAATAAAAATGTATGAAGAAACAAAAAAAGTCGATTTTGCAAAAGACATTTTCACTTTGTAGGACAATTGTGATAATGTCGATCTGAAAAATTAATTTTTTTACGTATTCTGAAATTTAAACTTTCCAATTAATACAGTTTTTTGGATAAGAACGTAGATTACGTATGAACTCAAACACTGGGAAAGACTTTCAATCGATTATATGTCAACAAATTTAGCATTATCTTCCTAAGTTAAAACTTAATTATGTAAAAATTCATCTATAGTTCAAAACAGAATTTTTATTGTTTATATTTTATTCTGTACGCGACATTTTCATATATTTTATTGATTTCGATTCTATTAGGGGTTAAATACATAGATAAGCCTCGTTAACATTAGAATATCCTGAAAAATTCAACATAAAAAAGTCGTCTTATTCGAAAGATATGAAAAGCTGAAAATATTGACTTTTCTCATCTTACCTTGTGACATATAATTGCTTATGGGGATATTCAATGTCTCAAGAATAATACAACTTTTCAGGTTAGAATTCTTCTATAATTCGATTTTGTCACTCACACCTTGTCAAAGATTCTTAAAAACAAATTTAGAGAAAGCTTCATGTCAAAATTCATTATTTTTATCATGTATCAATAAGAAAATGTATCTATTGGGAATTATTCTAATCTAGAGATCTTTTTTACTTATTAATAACAAATTGAAAGTCGTCAACGCGAAGTATCACCTAAAAATATTTACTCTTAAACAATCATTGAAATTAACATCATGTGAAATTATGAAAAGAAATTTTTTCTTTTTTCTTTTTTTTTTAGAATATTTAATTATCTTTAAATATATTATTGATCATTTATTCAATAAATTTGATACTTCGAAATTAAAAAAAAAAAAAACAGAAAAAAAAAAAGTTCAAAATGACTATCATTATTTTTAAACCTGAGAGTCAATTCTTTGTTTATACATAAATTCATAATTATAATCATATATAAAAAAGAAAAAAAAGAAAGAAAAAAAAAATTTTAAAAGAAGATTTTTGTTCAAATTAAATCATTATGTTTTCACTTGTTTCTGATATATGTTTACGTCGAATACGCATTGTTGTCTCTTTCATTGAATGATATAAAGCATATGTATTCCAATGTAAACCATTTCGTGCTGTATTTTGTAAAGCAAGTGGTGATCGTACATAAGCACCATTAAGGTGTGATTGAAAACAACTTGTAAACCACCATGCACCATGATATGTTAAAGCACAATTATCATAAAATAAATTATCATGATCACGATCAAATGTTGAAAATGGTGCTCCATTAGCATTATCCCATGGTGATGAAAGAGAATCACCTGCTGTTGAAATTGATGATAAATATTGAGATATTTGTAATTTATAATTTGAATTTTCATTATCTAATGAAAATTTTTCATATACAGCTGTACGAATTGTATTATCCCAAGGTTTTAAATCAACATAAAGTCTAGAAAGAAAAAAAAAATGTGTCATATGTTGTTTAATCATATTGATAGTCATTGTTAAACAATATCATATCCTCTGAAACAATTCATTCAAAGAATGTTCACAGTAAAAATATATTCATTCAAGGACAACTATAAGTTTTTCATATGATCTTTTTATTACAGAGAGGTACATGTATAGGATTGTGGAGATAAACCAATAGTGTACCCATTAATAAGTTCTACTATATATCGTTGACATGTTAATAGGTGATATTAGCATGTCAACGATACGCTATAGAATTTGTTAATAGATACATTATGAGATAGACACATGTCTTTCTTCAGAATCCTATATATATATATTTCGTTCTCTAACACAAAATAAAAGAGTTAAAAAAGAACTTGAGCTATCACACAACCTCTACTGCCCCCTCCCGATCATTCATATACATAAAAAAATGGGATACTTTTTTTTGCATGTTTTTCATATATATATATATTATTCTTACATATATTGTCCTTGATTTGTTAATTGATGAATTTTTTCATTTCCTAACCAAAATTCAGTATGTAAATCTCCAAAACCATTTTTATAATCATCCCATCCACGATAAAAATCAATAGTACCATTGATTCTTCGTTGTATAACTGTCCATCCTATTTTTAAAACAAACAAAAAAAAAATAAGCTCTCATTTTCTTTAAACTTATCGAATATGTTCATTTTTACCTGTATTATTTTCAAATATACATTGTACATCAAATGGTTCGGATGATAATCGAGGTTTTATACGATAAATTCCTTGAGAAACAAATGATGATTGTTGACGAAATATATCATCACAATCTATAGAAAAAAAAGAAAAGAAAAAGAAACAAAAAGTTATTCTTTGTTTTCCAATTAACAAAAAGCGTGTGGATAGATATGCTCCAGGGAATGTGATAACGAACTCATATTGTTGGTATCTATTATTGCATAATGTGTATATATATATTTATATAAATATGTACATGTATATTGTCTAAGATAGATGAAATGATAATTAAAACTGATCTTATTTTGTTTATAATAGAAAAATTAGTTATTTACCTATTGGTGTTTCATTATCATCAAAATCTTTTTTTATTGATACAAGTCTTCGTACATGTTGTATAGGTTTTTGTAATTCATTTAATAAATCATTAAGAATATTTGTTAAATTTTTAATTTTATATTCCATTGTTGAAATATTTAATGCAAATGAACGTTGTTGTTTTGATAAACGTATAATTAAATCATTAATTATTGTACCATTTTGTAAAATAGGTAATGAAAAATTTTTTAAATTTATTAATTCTTTTTCTAAACGATATAATTTTGATGTTTGACTATTATAATAATCAATCATTTCTTCAAGTACAACATCAGTTATTTCACCTTTTAAACTTGTCATATAACTTAACATTGTTTTTCGTACTTCTTCTTGTACTAATTCACGACGACGAAAACGTGGACGAATTTTATTATGTCGACCAAAAACTGATTGTGGTGATGGTTGTGATGATGATGATGATGAAGGAAAACCTTCAACCAAATAAAGAATAAAACAAACTAAAATAGC